TAAGGCGAAAGAGGCTCAAAATTATGAAGGAGTAGATCATGTTATTGTGAACGATGACCTAGAGAAAGCAGTTGCGGGACTAGAGAGCTACTGCCTTGATTTATATTGGAAAGAATTTGATCAAGATGATTAGCTAATAAACCCAACATATTCTTACTTTTTAAAGATGGATCTCATTTTCTCACTTCGAGGACATCCAGCTGGCATAACTTCAATATCAATCCAGGACAATCATATCTTATCAGGAGATTCAGAAGGGAACCTGATTTACTGGGATTTGGAAATTCGACGTCCAATTGCATCATGGAAAGCCCACAGTTCTTCAATTTTAAAGACTGCCATTCAAAATAGATTTTATTCGCAAGGAAGAGACGATTTAATTAGGATATGGAATAGTAACAATGAATTGATGGGGCAATTTCCATCTTACTCTCTGTCATTTTGTGGATTTGCGATCAACCAAGAAATTATGGTTTATCCTTTGGAATATTCACTGGTGGTATTGCGATTAGACGGAATGCACATTGAAAGAGAAATACAGTTGGATAAAAAGTATGGACACTGTCTATCGCTGCTCATTAACAAAAACACGATCTATGGTGGATTTGAAGATGGAAGTGTTATAGAGTTTGGAAAAGAGAGTGCCAGAGCAATTAAAGCGATGAACGAACCGCTTTTGGCTTTAACTTTCGACAAATACTTGTATTGTGCTGGAGCGGAAGCGTATATAGCTAAAATCAAAGGAGACGAAGCACAAAAATTAGAGTTGCAGAGTCCAGGAGTATCGCAACTAGTAGCGTCGAATGGAACCATTTTTGGTGGTTGCTGGGATTCCTCAATTGTTAAAATAGAGCAGGATACAGAGTACTTTAACGAACACAGAGAATCCATTAGATGTCTAGCTGTAGGAAAAGTAGACTTGAAAAAGGCGACTACAATATTGTGTGCTGGATCAGACGATGCCCGCATATCTGTGTGGAAAGTTTAATGTATTGTAAATATACTTTTGAAATAGCTATTCGCGAATGATTACCGATATTATACTTTATTGTGCGATGATTGCCATATTGTCTCTTGAAATTACATATTCCGTTTCGCGATACCCAAGAATTTCAGCGATATCTTTCGAATGAGAGCCCATAATTCTCTGAATTTCCAAAGAAGAATAGTTGGCCAACCCTCTTCCTATCTCGCGCTCATATTCTTCTTCTTTTCCATCACTTGTGATTCGCTTTTCAGTCTTTACAATTTTGACACATTGAAGAGCGTTGAAGCTTCCGACAACTTGCTTTATACCGGCGGCAAACAGCGAACCCCTACTTTTTCTTGTAATTGCAATAGAACATCCTTCATCCACAACGAGTTTTCCTGCTGTAGCCAAACTATGCAAGATCCACCATTGTCTATCATCCATTGGCTTTTCCCTTGCGAGGAATAGGGTTCCATGGCTTGGTTCATAATCTTGCTTATTCTCATTTTCTTGGATTTCCCTTATTATTGTCCCAATCAAATTTGGTTTGGATCCAATGGTAATAATCATATTACAGCCAGCACTAATAGATAATTCGGCAGCAATCAATTTGGTTATCATTCCACCCGTGCCCACCGAAGAACCAGGAGATGAAACATTGACTATGTTAAGAAATATAACCTTGCTCTTTTAACACTGAAATATCCTTTACCACCTTAATCCTAGCTGCATCAGGATTATTCCTTGGGTTATCAGTGTATAGCGAGTCCACATCCGTCAACAAAAATAAATAATCAGCGTGAACCATTCCAGCAACTACCGCTGACAGCGAATCGTTATCTCCAAACCGGATTTCGCTACTCGAAACCGAATCATTCTCGTTAATAATTGGGATAGTGTTGTAAGCCAACAATTCGCGCAAGGTATTACACGCATTCAGGTATGGTGATCGCTAATATTAAATACAGGTACATCACATAGATTGTCCCGTGATAAGAGTATTTGAGCGATTGGAAGATGAAATTGCGCAAACAAGGAATCATATAATGCGATTAATCGTCCCTGTCCAACTGCCGCTGCTGCCTTTATTAAGTATTAATACTTGTATCTGAGATAGATGTTTTGGTCGTTTAGATAATTTCAGCCGTCGTAATCCCATCCCCACTGCACCCGAACTGACAAGTACTACCCGATGTCCTTCTTCTCGTAGCTGGGCAATAGTTTCTACCAGCAGAGACAAATTCGATAGCTTTGGAATAAATGTTTTTTCGTCGCATATACTTGAAGTTCCCAATTTAATTACAATTGTTAGTTTTCCCATTTGCAAATTTGGAAAATCGTCGATGGTGATGAAACTGACATCGCGATTAAATACTTAGTCATAAAATTCACAGGATTCAGTTTATTAGCTATTTGAAATAAATTCGAGTTCTTGCAGGTACCCGTCCAACTCCAACTTTCTCTCGTGCTGATCCAAATACTCTGACATTGCATCTCTATACTCTTTCAATTCGCTCCACTCTGAGGAGTTTAGCAAGTATATAAACAAATTGTTCCACAGTTCAATATTCCAATCCTTTTCAAACTTGCTAACGACTCTGATTTTGTCTTTAGTAGCCGTTTGAGGATTGGTCTGCAAAAGCTTGCCAAACAAGAGAATGTGGATCATACATGCAAGGTTGTAAAGGTCAGGCTCGTACTTGAATGGCTTTCCATTTCTGCACTCCCAGCACTCTTCGTGGGGCAACTGGTCGGATTTTGGTATCTGGAACATCTGAGAAGGCTTGAATTGGTTAAGATCGATAGCAGCACCAAAATCAACTAGAACCAAATCTTGGTTTCTGGTTATATAGTTTTCTAATCGTAAATCACCGTGAATAAACCCAGTTTGGAACAAAAAGATGGAGATATCCAATAGCTTTATCGAATAATGCAATACCAGCAACTCATCAATGCCTTGTTAATAAATATATACCTGGCGAGTCCCTTCCAATCTTTAAATTACGACAACTGTGGAAAAGGTCTAGTAGAGTCAAGCCAGACTCGTATTGCAATTCAAGAATAGATTCATTCTTGTAATAGTGAAACTGCAATGGGCTGATAACCAATTCCGAAGCTTTCTTGGAGTGGATTTGATGTAAAATATAATATTCCCACCCAGAAGATGGTTTGGAAATCTTCATTACTAAACTCGAACTGCTTTGCAGTACATAGACTTTAGAATATTCAGAGTCAGAAAGAGTCTTGACGATATGAAACTTTTGTCCATTAAATATTACTGTTTTCCCATCATTTTGTAGAGTAGATTCTTTGGTTGGATGGAACATGAAACTCTTGTTTTGCGGGTCGTAGGATCGCTGCATTATTGCTGCTCTGATGTGAGGATCTGATGGATGTACAGGTTCTTGTTCTTCACTAATTGTCTCAAAGGATGTCGTATGGTGAAAAGTCATTTCGCTCTTTTCAGTTACCGGAGTCATTATCTGCACTGGTTGGCCAAATACATTCTTTACAGTTCTTGGTGTTTCAGAAAAGAGCGTTTCAACAGGGTTGGAGCTATCTTCATCGGAATCTTCATCTTTAAATACTCCCAGTTTCAGCTCGTCATTAGATCGCTTGTAGACCTTACTAGATATCGTTTCATCATCTTGTGGATTGTAGTATATAACTTGATCTACTTCTGTGTCTCCTTCGATTGGCGCGTTAAATATATCCATAATATCTCTCATTGCATCTTTTGTGTTGATGGTAGGCGAGGCAGGCTTGAACTTTGGTTTTGAATTTGACTGTTTTGACTTGATATCATATCCGTATGAAATAGCTCTATTTTCTTCAAAACAAAATTCCTTGTTTTTGATACGCAGCAGTTCCAATTTCGACACCAGTACGCTTCCATTCATGTCGCCTGTGAAAGTATGGTCAGCCAATATATCATCTGGATTAGTACCAAGAAACCTTGAAGTGATTTTGGCTTGAAGATCTTTGGTTTCTTCCTTGGCACTACTTCTTCATGTTCATCTTTGAATACATTCAGCTTTGGGTTCGAAGGAGCAACTGAATCTTGTTTATAGGTGTTTCCAGCCCATTTCTCTGCTTCCACTTCATTTTCCTTTGATTTGAGATTATAATCCGACCATCCAGTCGATGCCTCAGGAACGAGTATTTCATCAGGCTCGCTCGAATCTCTAAATACTTTTAATTTGTCTTTTGAACTAGTTTTTGGCTGGAGTACTTTTTTTTTTGGCTGTGGTTTCTCGTCCAGAGGAATGTTATTTGTCTTTCTAGCGAGAAACTTGTTGTACTCTTTCACAATTTCATCCACTGGTTCCGCCTTTCTGCTTATTCCAAGGCGATACAGCTCATCAGCTCTATCATAGTCTTTACCTCCTTCGTAATATCTGGCATATTCAAGATAGTAAATTGAAAGACCAGTCCCGATTTGATTTACTGCCAAATACTTGTACACCTCACCAGCATCCGGCTGTTTACGGGCAACACTCATCCATAAATCCACGTAGCGAGGATCATTCTTGTACCTGCAATTAAACTATTTTCACCTTTGATCTTTTCTAAATTCCCGAACAGTGGTTTCAGTTACTTTTGGAATCGAAGAATGGGTATAGGTGAAGTGCTTGGTTGTCCATTCAATGTAGTCAATAAATGGCTTCAAGGGATCATCCTTGTTTACTTTTTTCAATTCTGCCTCTTTGATTCTTCGCAAATGCTCATAATCCTGGCTGACAACTTTTGGTTTGAATCCGTATTTCGTTGCTTGGACGTTTTCCTTTTCTTTTTCCAAATCGTCCATGTCATACTCGACCATTTTGAGATTTAAGATTAGTTTCGGACTTGCAAAGTAGTTATTTGGCGAAATCGAGAATAACAGTGCTGAAATGGTTGGGCTGCTTAGTGCAAGTCTCTCATTAGGTTCTTCAAATAGAACAGCTGATGTACGCAGTTCTACAGTATTCATAACTATGAATGCTCAAACTAAAGTAGGAATAGCAGAGCGATGTAGGGCAAAAAAAGATGTTTCTGACCTGATTTGAACAGGCATCCTCTCCGAAGTTGACGAGTAGTGAACAGAGTTCAAACCGTAGATAGAGGAGCGCTCTACCATTTGAGCTACAGAAACAGCGACTGGTTAATTTCTCGGTCATTTGCATCATAGACACAGCTGTGAGTCACTGCGGGCAAATAAGATTGGGAGCAGTAGTTTTCAGAATGTAAAAGATTAAAACATTTATTTAAGTGCCTTGTCAATCAATTCACGAGAAAATTCTGTCAATTTCAAAGCCAGATCTTCATCATACGCGAGGTGGTGATATAGAGTGCCAACTTGGCAATCGTAATAATATTTGCCAGCTTCAATCTTTGGATCAAAAGCGCACACGATAGTTGTGGCAGTACCTTGTGGAATGTTCTTTGATTCCAAGATCTTTGGAAAGAGGGATTTGTTGAGTTGCCATACCATTTCCATTGCGCTCTTGACTCCAATATGCTGGGTAAGGTTAGTAGAGGTAATATTTCCAGGGTGTAGAGATACAGCAACTATGTGTTTTCCTTCTGCTTTCATTCTATTATTTAATTCAACGGTGTATAGAATGTTTGACAACTTGGATTGGCCATATCTTTCCCATGAATTATAACATTTTTCTCCAGAAATATCGTCAAACAAGATACCAGTCTTTGGAGCAAACAATACGGCTGCAAGAGAAGCAAGATTGACTACTCTTGCTGGTTCATCTTTAGTTCCGGATCTTTCCAGTACTGGTAGCAATAGTTCTGTGAAATAAAAGTGTCCGAGATGATTTGTTCCAAATTGTGTTTCGAATCCATCTGCGGTTTTGGTTAAAGGACAGGCCATAATACCAGCATTGTTGATAAGGATATCGATTGGATTTCCTGTACCGATATAATCTTCTGCGCACTTTTTTACTGATTTCAAGCTAGACAAATCAAGTGGAACAACAGTGATGTTTGCATCTGCATTTTCTTTAACGATATCCGCTTTTGCTTGTTCGCCTTTGGATACAGTACGACAACAAATAGTAATAATCGCACCGTGCTTTGCAAGAACTCTAGCAGTTTCTTTTCCCAAACCGATATTTGCACCAGTGATAACGACGTGTTTTCCCTTGATTCTGTGCGGGAAAACAGCAGCAACTTGCTCAGCAGTGGTTTTATTGTTGAAGGTAGGATTTGAAGACATTATTCGGATGAGTTTTAATTAAGCTGAGTATTTTTATATCTGTTATTCGAGTACGGGCCGTCTGTGCCCTATAAGTTCACGAGGGGTAAAGCAATTTTGCCGCAGCAATCAAATTTGCATAAAAAACTGTTTCCAGATTTTACTTTGAAGTTGAACAGAGCCAAGTATAGAGCGTTTGTTTTCGAATTCGCTGGTGTAATTCGAAGGCAATAGCACAACGATTGGGCTATAAACCGGCTAAAGCCGACTGAAACCCGATCCACAGTTTTCACCCGAAAGTCGTTTGCACAATGATACACATTAAGTTCTGAAACAATGCCGCCGAGTATATTAACCGAAAATGGTAAAAAGATCAAAATAATTGTTGCGCAGTTTCACGCTTGCATGAACATCCAGTTTAGATTATTGGCTTTCCAAACAAGAATATACTTGGAGTGTCAGATAAATTCTTGAATTTATTAATGTATAATCAAGCCAGCTTACTTGCTTTGGGAAAATCCTTGTAGTATTTCCTTTCCCATCTTTCTCTATCGTTCCACTCTGGTACAATGATATCCAGCATCTGCGGTAGGCACTCTACTTGTACCAGCTCGTACGGTATTCTCTCTCCACTTAAATCCAGGATATTATCTTTTTCAATGAGGTTTGCAGAAGCATTGTCTTGGTGTCCATAAGGATCCAGAACAAATGCAGCTACTTTTTCATGCTTGACTTTGTCCAACGCCATATGCATTCCTCTTTCAGTGTCAATCACACAACTTAGCGCTCCAGATCTGGTAATATCTGTGGTATATACAACATCCAGGTATCCGTTATCCATTCTTGTCGATGGACAAGCAATAAAATCTGTCGCAATCCAAGGCACATTAAGGGCTTTGTTAATAAAGCCTACCTATAAAGAACTGGAATAAGCTTTCAATTTGGATTGGCCAAGCATTGTAGTTGTCGTTGTTCACGGAAATATATTTACAAGCTGGGCCGTGGAACATTTGAGTTACATTTGCATCCGGATTCAAGTAATCTGGAGCAGAATCCTTTGAAAGCATGTACAGCTTTCCTTTGTAATGGCGAAAATCTACAATTCGTACTAGAGCCATCAAAAACGTTCTTAGGTTTCCTGAATTAAACAAGTATACCTATTGCTCTCCATTTTTCAGATTCAATATCCACATCTGCAACAAATCCCCAAGTCAGCGATAAATGTGAATAGGTAATCTTGTTGTTTTGTATTACCGCCATCACATCAAATTTACTGGTTTTTCCTTTCAGAACGGCCAATGTCGCCAGTTCTTGATATTCCAAATCTAAATTCTTTCCGATTCCATTCGCAGTGCCACCTCCAATTGTTGCTATTGGCAGCTCCTTTGCGTGTTCCCAGTCTGGTCTAGAAAGAAGGCCGTGAACAATCTCATGAAACACTCCATCTCCAGAAATGGCTGCAATCACTTTGTATTTCGTATAATCCAGCTCTCTGGCAATCTCAGATGCGTGGTTTGCATATCGAGTTTCCTTTAGTTCATGCTTGTGCTCCAGCCCAGCAATTTTTATAATCGGAAGAACGATCTTGTGATAGATTTTCGTTGCTTTCTTTTGCCCACCAAACGGATTCAATACAAACAAATACTTTTTGTCGTGCTGTCCAAGTGCGTCTCTAATTGTTTGTACGCAGTTCTCTGCATCTCGGATTAGTAAAATGTACCAACAGATGCGCTTGAAAACACTATTTCCCTCAGAGCTGGTTTTGTAACGTTTCCTTGACTGTCGAAATTGATGTTAAATGCAAATAACGACCATTTGCCAGTTGGGATTTGTTTGATTCTCATCGCTGCCAACTCTAGAGAGGAAGCACCGCAGCATCCCATAAATGATGGATCTTTTGTGTGCGCTACTCCAATTATGTGGGACAAAGACAATGAATATTCTGAGTTAGTTTGAAATACGCTTCGCATTCACTATCCAGTGAATATCTGTATCAGTGAGAGTGATCTGTGTTAGCGCAGCATAGTTTGAGCTCTGGTTCGAGTCATATTCAAAGCGCTGTCTTTCCATTCTCAGATTCCAGCTTTGAAAACAAATTTCGAAAAATATAAAGTTGAGCGTCGTAGAATCTGGATTTTCCACTTGCCAATATAGCCAACCTGAGAACTCGGATTTCCGAGAATGGCATCTTGATTTGAACCGTTGAAACATCACCACTGAATTTTTTCTTTTTTCACCACATACAAGTGTTGAACCTCATAAACCAGTATGACTAGAAAAAGAAAGACTAAATCAGCATCAGAATCTAATTCAGAATCTTCTACTCCGATTTTACAGAGAAAGAAACCAGGAACACCTGCGGAAGAGGCACCAAAATTGCTCGTTGACCAGCCAACAACAGCTAAATGGAAGAATTGGTGGACAAGAACTTTTTGGACCGTAGTTATGATCCTTGGATTTCTTGGAATATTATACGCTGGACCGCAATACGTGATACTCCTCGTTGGAGCAATCCAAATTATCGTTTACAGGGAAGTCTTGTCACTCTCGGTCGGACCATCGAAAGAAAAGTCTTTGCCGTGGTTCAGATCATTGCATTGGTATTTCCTTGCATCCACAAACTACTTTTTATACGGAGAATCGTTGATTTATTACTATAAACCGTTTGTACTTGTAGACGCATTCTTAATGCCACTCGCTACGCACCATCGATTCATTTCGTTCTCATTATACACTGTAGGATTAGTTATATTTGTACTGAATCTCAAGAAAGGTGATTTTTTCTAATTTCAGGATTTTACAAGTTCCAGTTTGCCCACTTTTGTTGGACCCATATGGCTCTGTTATTGGTTGTTGCGCAATCGCATTTCATCATTAATAACATATTTGAAGGGCTAATATGGTTTGTTTTGCCGTGTGCTCTTGTTGTTTGTAATGATATTATGGCCTATGTTTCTGGCTTCTTTCTTGGAAAGACACCACTTATTAAAATCTCTCCAAAAAAGACCTGGGAAGGGTTTATCGGAGGATTAATTGCAACTGTAGTTACTTTTTGACTGTAGGTTATTTTTGCATACTTTTTCTCTGGCTTTATTGCTCATTATCAATATTTTACCTGTTCATTGCAAGACATTGCTTTCAATCCATCTGGATATGTTTGCCCGCCAAATCCTGTATTTTTGGCAAGACAGATCCAACTATTCCCATCAATTACAGGTAATCGTAAATTAACGTAAGGGTTATTAAGATGGATTGCTGTGCCATTCCACTTTATTTTCCCATCCGTTGTTTCTGCCGAGCCTATCCGCGCTATGACAGTTTTACCAATTCAATTGCATGCCCTGGTATTTGGTTTGTTTGCTTCGCTTATCGCCCCATTCGGAGGTTTCTTTGCTTCTGGACTTAAGCGCGCATTCAATATTAAAGATTTTGCAGACTCTATCCCTGGCCATGGTGGCTTGACTGATAGAATGGATTGTCAATTCATCATGGGGGTATTCGCCAGTCTGTATTACCACAGTTTCGTTGGAAGAGTGGGCATGACTGTGGGAACAGTGTTGGAGCTGGCATTGCAAAGCTTGGATACTCAAAACCTGGTACAGCTTTATGTTGGCTTGGGCAAGTATCTTGAAGGCCAAGGAGTAGAATTTTAATAGTATTAATAAAGCAAGTTAAAATTTATAATAACCGTTCAAAAGACTCGCAATCGTTTATTTCAGCTTGTTTAGTGATTCCACTATACCCTGGTTGTTCTTTGACTTTGCAAATTTGAGTGCTGTAGAAAATATATTCCCGGCTTTTACGCCTTTCAAGTATTTGGGGTTGCTTAGAATTGCATCGACAATCTCCAAGTTGCCATTCATGGTGGCAGCCAGCAGTCCTTCGGAAACCACTTCTTCAGGAACAAATCTGCAGTCTTCCATCAACTGGTATAGTATGTTTAC